TGCCTAAATAAATGACATCATTTTCAGAGCCACCCACATCTCCCAGATTAGCCTGTTAGGCACCCGTGTTTGAAAACGCTGGTCCATATTTCCAAAAATGACAGGCTAAGCAAAAATATATTTCTTCCTAAATCTTAATTTTTAAATGTTCCATTTAGATTTTGAGACATTTAAGGAACATTTGTTCTTAAACTAATGTTCAATGTAGTCATTGCTTCATGTGTTTGTTTATGCCTTAAAGCATTGAATCAAGTGCTCAGCATAGCTCAGAAATGTTCCTATAATTTCTATTCAATTTTATGGACATGTTACCTCTTTGTCATGTATGCATAGGTTGCAGTGTTCCAGAATATTGCATAGTATATAACTTAGGGATTTATTACCTTTGATCCCGTTACTATGCTTTAGTTATCGATACATCAGTGTTGTTATTCATTAAATAATACCAAGCATGTTCCAGATGAATGCAATTACTTCTTGCTTCTCATCCCAACTTGTTTAACATGATGGATCCCAATCTGTTCTCCACTTCCACCATCTTGATTAATGATTCAAGCAACAAGATATCTTCTCTACATGCTCAACGTATAACGATTCCGTATACAGAATTCTCATGAAGATTCTATGCACAGAGGCCACAGAATCATGCCCAGAGGCAATAATGAGACTATTAATTAAGCTACTATAACTAGTACTATGTCATTTGTTCATTCTGACAGCTGAGTTTTCTTTATGCGCCAAACCCCCTTCTTTTCTATTCATCCACTGGCAAAATAAAGCAATAACATTTAGCTTAATATCAGTGCTTCCTTTTTAAACATTTTTTTCCCATTTTTCTTACATCGTGAGACTGTTAAGAGATTCAGAGCAACTTAACTGATCTTCTCTGGAAGTGGAACAAAAGCACTCTGCTTGGTACATCCCCTTTGAATGTCAAATGGATTATATTGTATGCACGATTTTCATAGATGTTGCACCTAAGACCTTCATCTACACTCCCAGAATTTTTGTGGTGCCTGGTATAAAGACTGATACAGCAAAGTATATAAGCAGATCTTTCAATACATGTTTCAATGCACTTGCGTTCATGTACTTTGGTGAAACTTAAAAACACACTCATATGCTTTCTCTCAATCAGGTTCAAAACCAGTAACTGGACTTAATTTTGTAGGTTTTATAATCCATAGCCTAAATGCATATATAAAAAGAAAAAGGGTTCCCTTAGGCTGTTAGAGCTCAAAAAATTACCATACTATTATTATGACTGCATTGTTAATTACTGTTCTTACCAGTTGTTGTCCTTGTACTCCCCATGCTGCGTACTGCAAAACTGAATCCTCGACTTCTGGAGGGTTTAACTCCCAAACTTCCCTTGAAAAAATGTAAACATTTTTACTTGAACATATTAACATTACCAGCTTTTCTGAATGTCAGCAATGAATCATGTGTTGAAAAAACCAAATGGCTTACCTTGTATGTATGTTATAAATCACATATGAAGCTGTATACGAATAATGAAAAACCTGTAACAAGAAAGAAATACTGAATTTAAGTGAGTATAATATATTGCTGACATCACAATCATCTAACACAACCATGCATTGCTTCATTGTTGCCTCAAGTAAAGCGTAGGTCCATATGAATAATAATAGATAGATTTCAAGCACTGTTTGAATACAGCATGAAGGACATGGATAGCATCCAAGTGTAGTCCAGTGTAATACATATAACAGATCTTTGGTTAATTTAATTAATTCATCACTAAAAAATTTCATGGAAAACGCATACCAAAAAAAATTCTCTCATTTGAAGGATAAAAATTACTAGGAAATAAATATTCTTCTCTTGAATATTTATACCAGGATATGGCCAAAATGAAGGTTCATAGACCTGACCGTCCCACCTTTAACTAATAGTACTAGGCATAGATGTGGTGTCAAGTGACAACCAGCAGAGTGCCCCACCAAAAAATCTGAAACCTGGCCACTGTTCAAGGAAACGGTCATATTCCCACTGGCTTCACTGCTATTACAAAAACGGCAATTTCAATGAGCACCTTAATGTTTCTCCCCTAAGGAAAGCCTGCTAGATGCATCTATCCCAGGGGTTAAGAACCAGCAGGTTCCAGCACTCACTTCCAGCCCCATGGCAGACCTCTGGGAAAACCCCGCAGGGTTCCTTTGGAAACCCGACTTCGATTCAGCAAACATTTACTGAACTTGAGATATTTTAAGTAAAACATTCTGGGCTCAATTTTTAAGCAAAACATGCTGGGCTCAATGAACTGTCGGTAAAGTTTGCTTTCTCAGAACATTTCTGACCCACTTTTATCTAACAGCACCTGTTATTTTGGGGATTGGAGATAAAGGAGAATTTTATTTTGGACCTTTTACTGCCCTCCTTACTCAGGAATAACTGCTACTGAAATCAGAGGGACTTCAGATTAGGTAAAAAAGCACAGATCAGGCCTTAGGTATATGAAATACAAAGACCCATTTTGTAGAAGAATATACGACACAGCAAAAATGTTGATATGAGAAAAGCT